TTGGCAGGAGGATTTTTCAAAAATCAAATAAAAGCAGCCACAATGAACCGCTCCTCCCCTCACCCCCCATGGGCTCGGGCCCTCGCAGGCATGGCCCTGGTTTAAAGAGGAAGGGTCAGAGCCTGAACTTCCTCTTGGCCTCCAGCCTCAGTCACCTGCTCTAGCATTAACTCCCCCCACCCCCCGAGCCCTGTGCATGGTGCAGCAGCTGGCTCTGTGGGGAGGGGGTTATTCCAGGGGGTTCGGTAGCTGAGCTGCCATTGGGATTTTAGGGTATTTTGCCTTATTGTCTCTATGCAAAGGACAAGATCGGGGAGAGGGACACAAGTCTCATACAAGTCAGAGGGCTGGTTCAGAGGGGAGTAGCCAATAGCTCAGGGGCAGATTCAGGGAGAGAACCCAGGAGTCCTGACTCCCTGCCCTCTCTACTCCAACCATGAGACCCCATCAGCTTCACAGAGCTGAGGACAGAACCCAGGAGTCCTGGCTTTCAGCCATCCACAGCACTCAGCACTCCCCTCAAGCACCTGGCTTGCTGGGTGTGAATCTAGTACCCCGTATAGAGTCCATACTGATCCCCCTCGAACCAGACACTGCCAAGGGCAGATATCTGGGACACAGCTCAGGCTTGTTCCCCCGGACTCTATGCCTGATGCTAATGGCCCAGATGCACCGGTCTGGGTCACTGCTCACCTGCAGAGGTGCCAGGTCCCCTCCATACTCATTGGTTTCCAGGCTCTGCAGAGGGCACGGCTACTTGCTGTGTGCTCTGATGTGATCCTGCCTTGGATGTCTGTGCTCCTTCCCTGCACTGCACGGCGGGGCTCGGAGTGCAGGAAGAGTCAGGCTGAGAGATGCTCCCCTTCCCGCCCCATTAGAGTCACACTCTCCCCATCAAAGCTCTTTGCTGTTTATGATCCCACAGCCCTAAGGAATGCCAGTGAGAGGGGGTGAGCGAGCACCTGCCTTTGCCAGCTGGAGCCGAGGGCCCAATCTGCATCGCCATCCTCTGCACAGTTGCAAAGTAAATTAGTTAATTAATCCATAAAGCCCCCTCAGGGAGGCAGGTGAGGATTATCCCTGTGTTAGGGAGGGGAAAACTGGCACAGACAGGTGAAGTGACTTGCTCAGATTACAACAAGCAGAATGGAACCCAGGAGTCCTGATCCCTCCTCTACCTACTAGAGAACACTCCCTTCTAGAGCTGGGACCAGGTGTATGGATTCCCAGCCCCCCCCCCCGCTCTAACCACTAGACCCCACTCCTCTCCCAGAGCCAGGGATAGAACCCAGGAGTCCTGGCTCCCCATTCCCCAGGGAGTTATGAACCAATCCTTCATTTCAAACCCAGGATCAAGCCCAACTGCTGCAGAATGCAATTGGACCAGTTGGAATTTGGCCGGGAGGCCAGAGGTCATGCCCTGACTCATTGTTAAAGTGCCAGGTGGTCTCTGCTGACCACAGTGGCCGGCCACTCAGCACACTAAAGGAGAGCGACAGGCAGCAAGTCACCCCCACGGGACCTCAGCAGCTCCTGTGCTCCACACAGCAGGTTCCATGGTGTTCATGGAACCAGCCCAGGGACACTGCAAATGCCCTTAAGGCTGCTTGACTCCTCCATGACCCAGGTCTGGGCTCTTGGGTCAACTCCAACCCTGCTTCAGTCAGTCCCCAGAGATGTCTGCAGCTAAAGCAATTTGCACCAGGCCACATTTTCAGCCCTGAGGTCTTCCTGTGCCCCATCCCTCCAGGTCACGGGACGATCAGTTTCCAAACCAAGGCAAGGACTCATGGGCAGATGCCCTGGGCTGGGGCAGAGCCTCACCTGCACCCCATTGGGCCCACAGGTCTAAATCCTGCTCCCACCAAAATCAACGGTAAAGCTCCTATTGGCTTCCACAGGATGCGTGATCTGGCCCAGCCACTAATATCAAGCCTGCAGAGTGAACTGTAGGACCATGACAGCTGCCATCCCAGGGGATTGAACTCATAGATTCATAGATATTAAGGTCAGAAGGGACCATTATGATCATCTAGTCTGACCTCCTGCACAATGCAGGCCACAGAATCTCACCCACCCACTCCTGCGATAAACCTCTCACCTATGTCTGAGCTATTGAAATCCTCAAATCATGGTTTAGAGACTTCAAGGTGCAGAGAATCCTCCAGCAAGTGACCCATGTCCCATGTTACAGAGGAAGGTGAAAAACCCCCAGGGCTTCTTCCAATCTACCCTGGAGGAAAATTCCTTCCCGACCCCAAATATGGCGATCAGCTGAACCCTGAGCATGTGGGCAAGATTCACCAGCCAGATACCCAGGAAAGAATTCTCTGCAGTAACTCAGATCCCACCCCATCTAACATCCCATCACAGGCCATTGGGCCTATTTACCATGAATAGTTAAAGATCAATTAATTGCCAAAATCATGTTATCCCATCATACCATCTCCTCCATAAACTTATCGAGTTTAATCTTGAAGCCAGATAGGTCTTTTGCCCCCACTGCTTCCCTTGGAAGGCTATTCCACAACTTCACTCCTCTGATGGTTAGAAACCTTCGTCTAATTTCAAGTCTAAACTTCCCGATGGCCAGTTTATATCCGTTTGTTCTTGTGTCCACATTGGTACTGAGCTTAAATAATTCCTCTCCCTCCCTGGTATTTATCCCTCTGGTTTATTTATAGAAAGCAATCATATCTTCCCTCAGCCTTCTTTGGGTTAGGCTAAACAAGCCAAGCTCCTTGAGTCTCCTTTCATAAGACAGGTTTTCCATTCCTCGGATCATCCTAGTAGCCCTTCTCTGTACCTGTTCCAGTTTGAATTCATCCTTCTTAAACATGGGCTCAAAGCACAAGGCAGTTCACCAAGAGCCAAGGTGCCCCAGACTCACCGCTGTAGCTCAGGCCCAGAGGGGTGCCCAGAACTACAGCTGGGTGACATTGTTCCCCCGAAACTTTTTGTAGCCAAAAATGCAGGTTCGGCAACACCAAAATCGCCTGTGAATTCATGTGGCTTTCGCCGAACTGGCTCAGTCGGAAAAAACCCTCGACAAAAAACAAATCAAAACATTTTGTTGGACAGTTTCGATTTTTTAGCTCACTGTGTTTTCAAAAAAATGACCAACTGTTCAGAAACGCTCAAACTGGAAACGAACCGGTTCACATTTTGGGCTGAACAAAGCGTTTCCTTTGACCTGAAACAATTTTTTCCCCCCAACTTTGATTTGCCCCACGTTTCAACAATGTTTGTTTTCAGTTCGACCTGGAACAATTCCTTCCCCCTTCTCCCCCCTCAGAATTGAAAGTGAACCGAAAAATCCTTTATTTCCCCAGGTCTCCCTGCTATACACACTCACCGGTGAGTTACACAATAGCCAACCTTTGGCTTTCCTGCTGCTCTGTAGCTGGCTCCCTTTCAGGTGTCGGTAGCAAGGGGTTTTCTTTTAATCCAGGATCCCTGAATGAAGGCTTCTCCAAGAGATAACATGAGTATCTCAGGCCAAGCTGACATAGCAGGAGGAGAAAGAAGTAAACCGTTCATCCGGTAAATATTACAGATCTCGCCAAGCCGCATCCTGCGGCAGTGCATAGAAAACACTGGCCATACGCTGGTCTCTTTATTTATTTATTTTTCCCTTTAAAAAAAAATTCAGTATTCCTAAGGAAAAGTCATAAAGGACCAGACCCGTCGCACCTCCCTCATTCTCCCCTGCCCCCCTTCCGCCACCGCTCCTGCCAGGATCTGAAGTTTGGCTTCAAAGGAAAAGGGTTTATTTGAAAGTTCCCTGGATTCTGCCATCAGAACCCACATACTGGAGTGAAGCTGGAGGCCAGGGGACCGAGGCCCTGCACTGCTGCGCCGGCATTTGCACCAGTGCGAAGTGGGCGTGAAACGCTGCTACTCTGACTCGATAGCATTTGACTTTGCACTGGTGTAAATGACGGTGCAAGGTGCAGAAGTCTCTCCTTGCAAGACATTTAAAATTGCATTTACGATGAGGACCAGCCCTGCCCCTCCCTTGGTAAATCACAATGGAACGGTTTGTTGCGCCAGGCACCCGCCTCAAACACAGGAGGCCTTTGATTGGCTGAGCATCCCCTGCGTGCCTTAGGGCGTTCCGTCAGCGCTGGGTTGAGACCATTCACAAAACCCGGGGAGGGGGGTGAGCAGCACGATGAGGAAAACGGGGCTGTCGGGGTCACCCCGTGACACTACCTGGTATCAGTGACCCCTCCTGCATTAGGGTTCGGATTACAAACCCCACACAGTGCACCTGGTCTCTGGGACGTTTGGCACAGAGGGTGAACTTGTCCACTGAGACAGAACCAGAACCCTGGATCCCAACCCCACCCCTGGGTTATGGCTTGGGCTCCCAGGCGGCTTCCTCCACCTGGGCCTTGAGCCCCGTGATGGCTTCGTGTCCCCAGACCATGTCTCCCCTAGGGGACCAGGACAGCGGCACAGCTGGGAGCCTCATTGCACACCACCGAGAATGCCCCTGGTCCAGTCCCTCCTGGGCCCCAGCCTCCCTGGGCTTTGTGAATAGCACTGAGTACGCTTGAGACTCAGGCGTTAACCAGCAACCGGCAGCCTTTCCCCACAAGGGCAGGGACCTCCGACATTTCATGGTGGGGACCACAACTCCACCGGGGGATCCTAGAATCATAGAAGATTAGGGTTGCAAGAAACCTCAGGAGATCACCTAGTCCAGCCCCCTGCTCAAAGCAGGACCAACCCCAACTAAATCATCCCAACCAGGGCTTTGACAAGCCCTGGGATGTTTCACAGATACCTCCCCTTCCAGCACCCACCTCCGGTCCCCTTCCCCATCACCACCTCCATCCCCCTTCCCCATCGCCTGGAACTCACCTCCTTCCCCCTTCGCTGTCACCCGGCACCCACCTTCCCTCCCATTTCCCAATGTCTGGTCCCAAGTTGCAACCCATCTCTCATTCCCCATTGTCCAGCACCCACCTCCCCTCCCCCCCATACCCCAGCACCCGGCACCCACTCCCTTGCCATTTGTGATGACAGAAAACCTCAGTGGCTCACCCAGAAGATTGATGCCAGGGGTGTAGTTCATATAATGTTTAGCTTTTAACATCATTCAAGCGGGGGGACCAGCCCCCTGTGCCCAGCCATCCCTCCCCAGGGCAGCGCTCTGAGGGCAGGCTCATGGGGCAGGTAACTCTGAGTTAAATCCCCACTCTGCTCACTTCCCCCCTCCCTGGAATGTGGGGCATTGCTCTGCCCCCACCTGCCACCCAGCGTTCGCTACACAGAGTTCCTTCCGCAATCCGCAGCCGGATTCAGACCCATCCCAGGTCCCGGCTGCCGTGTGGTGCTGTGGTCAGGAGCCATCATCATCAGAAGCTCTTCAGGCTGGGCGGGATCGGCTGCGCCTGCCCTGTTCACAGTCTGTATTGGCTTAATATTGCAGCCAAGAATCTCACAGCGCTTTACAATGGTCAGTATTATTATCCCCCATTTTACAGATGGGGAAACTGAGGCACAGAGTGGTGAAGTGACTAAGCTGAGGTCACCTAGTGGGAGAGCCAGGCATAGAACCCCAAAGTCCTGATTCCTAGTCCCTGCCCTGCTCTAACCGTGAGACAGCACCCCCCTTCCTAGACCCGGGGAGAGAAGCTGGGAGTCCTGGCTCCCTGCCCCTCCAGCTCTAAGCATTAGATCTCCCCTGCTTTCCCAGAGCCAGAACTAGACCCCCGATTCCTGGCTCCCAACAGAACCCAGGTGTTCTGGTTCCCAGATCCCCTTCTTGCCACCACTCAAACCCTCTCCCACTTCCCAAAGCCCCCTAAAGAACCCAGGAGTCCGGCCTCCCAGCCCTGTGCCCTAACCACTAAACCACGCCCCTTCTGTATGGCTCCTTGTCAGGACGACCTAGAGCAGTGCCCTGCCTCCACCCAACCTGTGCCAGTTCCATGTGCGGCCGGGTCCCCTTGCCATGAGCACTGGGGCACCGGGTGCCGCTTTGGATTCCCTGCCCCCTCCTCCCCAAGATAAAGGCAGCCCTAACTCCAGTCTAGGCCCATACGGCAGCTCTAGCTTCACTCCAGCACGATGAACTCCAGGAGTTTAACTGTACAGGGCTTTACAGAACAAAGCAAACAAGATCAGCCACACAATGGCCAGACATAAACAGGCCCGAGTGCCGGGCCCGCCCCCTGGTGTCACCCGCTGTCCGACGAGGTGTGGGGAGCGGTGGAAGGAGACGTCCGCCGGCGCGTCGGCGTCCACGAGGACCTCTCCGAGCTGTTGGAGATGGGGCAGAACCTGGGGGCGCAGCGCTTGGCCAGCTCTCGCTGCTGCTGGCTTATGGCTTGGCTGATGAGTCCCGGCAGGGCGTGCAGGCTGAGGCCCAGTGCGTCGATCTTGCTCTCCAGCGTGTTGATGCGTTTCTCCAGGTCCTCGTTGCGCTCTTGGAGCTCGGAGATCATGTCGTACATGACGTTCTGGGTCTGCCGGAAAGACGGGGCGAGGCCAGGTGCTGAGCAAAGGTGCTCAGACCCGACAGCATCTCAGCAGGCAGCCCCAGGGCTCCTGGCCTTGAATCTCCCAAGGCGCTAGTAGCCATTGAGGGCTCCTGATACCCATCCTCAGGGGTTAGGGCTCACACCCAGGGGGCAGTGACGTACCGAAGTGATTATTCTGCCAAGGCTACACAGCGAGAGCCAGGGGAGAACTGGGAATAGAACCCAGGAGTTCTGGCACCCAGTGCCTCGCTCCAACCACTAGACTCCACTTCCCTCCCATAGCCAGGGATAGAACCCAGGAGTCCTGACTCCCAGCCCACCCCATCTGCTCTAATACACCAGCGCCACTTCCCTCCCATAGCCGGGATAGAACTCAGCAATCCCGTCCCCTGCTCTAACCACTAGACCCTTTCCCCCTCCCATAGCCCAAGGTAGAACCCAGACCTCACTCCACTCCCGGAGCTGGGAATAGAACCCAAGATTCCTGGCTCCCAGCCCCCGGCTTGAACCACTAGCACAGGGGTGCGCAATCTATGGCCCGGGGGCCTCATCTGGCCCTTCATACATTTTAATCCAGCCCTTGAGCTCCTGCTGGGGAGCGGGGTTGGTGGCTTGCCCCGCTCTGCACGTGCCATGGCTCTGCATGGCTCCCGGAAGCAGCGGCATGTCCCCCCTCTGTTTCCTATCCGCAGGGGCAACCAAGGGGCTCTGCACGCTGCCCTGCCCCAAGCGCCGCCCCTGCAGCTCCTATGGGCCAGGAACCACAGCCAACGGGAGCTGCAGGGGCAGTGCCTGCGGACAGGGCAGGGCGCAGAGACACCTGGCCGCGCCACCGCATAGGAGCCGGAGAGGGGGACATGCTGCTGCTTCTGGGAGCTCCTTGAGGTAAGCGCTGCCCGGAGCCTGCACCCCTGACCCCCTTCTGCGCCCCAACCCCCTGCCCCAGCCCTGATCCCCCTCCTGCTCTCCGAACCCCTCGGTCCTAGCCTGGAGCATCCTCCTGCACTTCCAACCCCTCATCCGCAGCCCCACCTCAGAGCCCACACCCCCAGCCAGAGCCCTCACCCCCCGCCCCCCAACCCTCAATTTCCTGAGCATTCATGGCCCGCCATACAACTTCCATACCCAGATGTGGCCCTCGGGCCAAAAAGTTTGCCCACCCCTGCACTAGAGCCCAGCCCTGGTGCAGCACACTGCTGGGGCCGGACGTCTCCCGGTAGCTCACCTTTGCCAAATCCACCAGGGTGTTTGCCTGGTCATTCAGTTTCCGTTGCTCCATTTTCACACTCCTCAATCTAGAGCAAAAGAAGTGACACTGGGTCAGTGGCCCCTGTCCGGCAGCCGGAGAACAGGGCCTGGGGCGGCCCTTCCCGAGGACATGCACCGCGTTCCACAGCCCGGCTGGCTGGCTCCAACGCACAGACATGCAGCTGTCGAATGAGGCAGCCCCTGTGGAATCTCAGGGCAGGGGGGCCGATCCCCTTGCTCCTGGCGCGCTTTTCAAGCCCTGTGCTGCCACGCCCTGCCGGAGAACAAATCTCGCCCCAGCTCCCTCCAGGAGCAGGTGCCAGGTCGGCAATCAACCTTCGTGGGCACTTGGGAGCAAGGAGGAACCTTGGTGTCTGAGGCCCCGTGGGGCTCCTGTGAGTAAATGGGGCTCTGGCCTCACTGGAGAGCACCCACACAACAGCCAGACGGTGGCGCTATAGAGAACCACTACCATGCAGACAGGCCTGGAAATGGGACTGAGATGCCCTGCGATGAATTTGGATGCAGAGGAGATGGGGCCGCCCGGGGGATGCAACAAACGACCTTCGGGGCAGGGGCTGGGCTGGGCGGTTGAAAAGGGACCTTGGAGTGGCGCTGGGCTGATGCGGACTGGGGAAGCCTTCGAATGAATGAGAGTCATTGGAGATGTCACAGCTTAGAAGGGCTTTCTCTACAGGCACTGTCTCCTCCCCGCCCCCCACCCCGCTGCAGTCACCCCTGGCCTAGCTGCTGCCTAGACACCCCCGCCCCCCCAACCCCGTTCTGCAATTAACTCCCATGGCAGCCCTCCCTCCTCTGCTCCTAGGCTGGGATGCCTTGCATTCAACCCCTTGGGAAGGCACAGAAGCAAAAGGATGGAGGCATCTCTGCCCCCCTTTCTCTGCAGCCCCCATTGGCAGCTCCCTCCCTGTGCCCTAAATTGGCCTTCGCTCAGCCGCCCTGGGCAGTTCCCATCTCACCGCCTCAATCCCTCCTCTGCCGTGCCCTGAAACTCCATTCAAGGCCATGCGGGTGGAATTCAGGGAGCCCTGGGAGTTCTGAGAGGTTCTCGATCATGTGTTCCAAGACTGCCCCCTAGATCCAGCACTGCCCCTGGGCTATAGGCCCCAGCCCTGCCTTTTCTAGCATCAGGGTGGCAAAGAGCGACGGGGGACACATTTCCAGGCCTTGCTCAAAGGCGCTCCGTTTACAACTAGCCCCTTGCTGGGATGCGGAGGCTAACGGTGCTGTAACTCCCCTTCCAGCTTGCCCGAAAGCAGGCCCTGGCCCGCGCCGCTCTTGGGGACATCTCCGCTGCGCTCAGAGGGGTGACTGTGGCTAAAAATAGCCGTGAAGCTGAGGCAACATGGCCCCTGTCATGGGCTGGCTCCGAGTGCACACCGGGGTCCCAGGCAGGATGCCTGGAACATGCTGCTATGGTTTCACTGCTATTTTTCGCCGCGCGTGGATTGACGCTCGGGCAGGTATCCCTGCCTGAGCTGCGGTCACCCTCGGATTGCAGTGGAGACGCACCAAGTGACTCAAGCCCCCGGCAGGGAGAGAAGTCCTGGTAAGCTGCTACATGGCTGCTAGCCATGGTGTTCAGGCTGCTGAATGGATCAATGAGGGGGAGTCAGTTCGGCAGATGCCCCCCACCCCCGGGCAATGGACGGAACATGGATTCACAGGGTAGATTTGCGGGGGTCTGAATGGCCAAAATGTTCCGTTTCAGCAAAACCATGCAAAAAACAAGGCCACATTCGAGAGCCTGGCAGCTCCACGGAGGCGACTTACTTCTGAGCTCTGGAGGGATCGGGCAAAACAAAGACAAAACACAGCACGTTTTAATAATACGACAGAAAACAGGCACTGTCATGCCAGCCGGTGCCCTCCCCTGCCCCGCCCTGCTCCCGCCATATCCCTGCACCCCCCCCACACACAAAGGCCCAGCCCTCTTGCACAGATCTGGAAACTGACAAAGCCGATTGCATTTAGCGCCTTGTCCCATTGGGGAAAAAGATCTCCTGGGGTCCCTCTGCCCGTTTCCCCAGGGCTTCGATCCCGGACTGTGGAGACGGCCCTTTTAAACTCCTCCTGTGCTGGGGGCTGAGGTCAGGGCTCCACTGCCAGAGCTGTACTTCTGGGGAGCGGGTGGAGAGTGAAAACCAGGAAGTCTTGGCGAAATGAACCCAGGGGGCAGGGAAGGGACCTCAGGAAAAGAACAGACGCTGATCAGCCCGGGGGACTGGAGATGAAGGACCCAGGCACCAGGAGGGAGGGGAGCGGAAATGCTGCAACCCTCACAAAATCTCCAGCTTCGCTATTTCCAAGCTGAAGAGGCTTAGCAGGGGGCCAGGTGACTCAAGGCCACCTGGGGTTTGTCCAGCTTTGGGGTTACCCTATGGAAAGGCAATGGGGTCACCCGCACTTTCTAGTGCTCTGGGGCCTTGTGGGAACAGCTCACCAGGCCATTGGTCTATGGATTTCTGATGCGAAGGGGTGGGTCATTGGCACTGGATGGCACTGAGCTCAGAGCTCAACCGTGCCCACCTGCCATGGCTACCTGTGGGAAAGACCATCTGCCAGCTGCCTTTGTGCCGGGACATCTGGTGCCAGTATCCAGCTTTATAAGGTGGATACAGGGCCCCCACCACTGCTGTCTCTCAGTTACTAGAAAGGGCTCTTTAGGTGCTTTATCCACAGTAATTGTTTAAACATGAGGCTTAGTCAAGGCTCACGCTCAGTGTTCAGCTGGGGAAACAGAAGCACAGAGGGGGAAGGGACATGTCCAGAGAATCTTTGGCAGAGTTGGGAATAGAACCCAGGAGTCCTGCCATGTGGGGGGTGCCCCCGGCAATGTTTGAAGTGGTACGCACCATCAGTCCCTGGGGCTCCCCTGGGGCAGGCCCCTGTGCCTCACCCGGGCCAGGCTCGGCCCCCCCCGCCGGCAGGCAGTGTCACTCCCAAACCCTGAGAAGGGGGATGGCCTGCTGGGAGCAGGGTGGCCCAGGCAGGCCCCCAGTGGGGAGCAGGCGGCATGGCAGCAGTGAGGAACAGCAGTGGTGGGCGCCCCCTTGCCCCCTCGGTTTGACCCCGCTGACCTGTCACAATGAGGGGGGCCTCGCGACTTCGTGCGTGGGAGCTGCAGCCCGGCTCGAGTCCGGCGCTGCGACCCCTGGTCACTGGGTTTCCAGCCCACTCACTCGGTTTTGGCTGCACTGCCCCACGAGGGCGGGGCCCCAAACCGAAGTGGGCAGCATGGCCATCAGCATTGCTGCTCCACCTTGTGCCCCGGGAATGCACCGGGCACCGCAGCCTAAACGCTGCGCTTGGCCAGAGACACCATGAGCCCAGCGATGGGTGAGGAGGGGGAAACTTCCTGGGGCGAAGACTGGGGGGCCAGATCCACAGCCACTGGGGACTGCTGGCTGCAGTAGATTTATACCAGCTGATGCTCCAGCCCTGGGGTCACGCCTTGGGTGAAGGGGCAGGGCAGGTTTTTGCTTCATCCACCCAAGTGCAGAGTGGCTGTGAAGTGCCCAAGAGTCTGCCAATCTCTCTCTCTCTCTCACACACACACAGACCAGGTTCCCCTTCGTGTGCTGGTTAACAGTCCATGTAGGGTGGTAAAACCCCAGACCCCTCTTCCCTGAGATAGCTCTCTCTTGCTGCCTGGGCTTTGGTCCATCCATGCATCCCCATACACATCCCTCCCTCCCTCTCTCCACACATACACCCATCCATCCCTACATGCATCCATCCATCCGTCCGTCCACCCACCCACCCAGCCCTTCCCAATGGTTTCCCTTTCGTTCACTGTCGTGTTCCAGCTACACCCAGAGCAAGTGGCGTCTTCTCCCCCTCCCCATCTCTGTGCAGCGCGGGGGGGCCTTTGTGGGTGTGTGCGGGGGAGGGGGACGCGCGAGGTGGGCCACGATGTGGAAACAATGAAAAAAGGTCAAGCCAGTCCTGCAGACACAGCGAAGTGCCCGACATCAGGGTTTCATTCCCCCTCACCCCTGCCAAAGAGAACAGACAGACCAACTGACCGACCCTGGGCAAGGGGGCAGGGGGTTTGTTTTTCAGAGCCAGAGTATCAAAAATGGCCACCCAAGTGCGGGGCCAGGGGGCAAATCCCATGCAAGCGTGTGCCCAGCCCATGGGCACCCAGGCCCATGGGGACCCTCTCACGTGGGGCTCATAGGACCCGCTCTGGGCTCCCGCAGGCTGGATTTCCAACTACTGAGCCCTTCAAATGCATTGAAGCTACCCATGCCCAGGTGGGTGAGAACTGAGCGTGGGCACGTGGTGCCCTGGGAGGTGGCACCCTCTATCCATACAGCACATGGGCAGCCACAGGCGCGCTGCACCTGTCTTAACGCTGCTCACGTCTCTTGGCCCCGATGGAGACCGTGGTGCCAGGGATGACACCTCCCCACTCCCTGGCTGCACCGCGCTGGCCATGGCTCTGCACTCCTCTGCCTTTTTGTAGGGCCACGCTGGGGCTGGGGCTGGGGCTGGGGCTGGGGCTGGTTATTAAAGGCCTTGCAGCCTCCAAGCCTGATTCAGTCGGCAGGGCATGTTCCCCTGGAGCACGGGGACTGGCACCCAGGCTTTCCAGGCGCTAAAGGCTGCCCAGGACCAGGGGGAGCCCCTAGAGGGGAACTTTGCACCCACCTGCAGGGGGACAAGCAGCGCTAGCCAACGCCAACACAGAGCCCCTGGCAAGACCAGGACATAGCCCTGCCCAGGAGGATGGAAGCTGGTGGGCGCTGAGAAGCTGCTGGCAGTTTGGGCCTGCAATAGCAAGACAAGGCAAAGAGGGACCCTCTTGCCAGCCACGCCAGCGTCCGTGCTGCTGTCAGCCCATGGAGCCCCTCCAGCCACGGGAAAGCGAATCGGCACCTGTTCTGCTCTCCGCATCGCCGACGGAGTTCTGACGGCGGCCCATCATGATGGCGCCGGGGCGGGGAGAGCAGAGATGGCTCCTCTTAGCGTGCAAGAACCCAAGCGTGTCGGGGCCCCGAGACAGCAAAGCGTACAAGCACATGCTGCTGTGACTTGATGAATAGGGGTCTGGATGTGGGCACCACAGACAGCTTGATTCAATGCACTGGTTGGGAGTCCACAGGCCCAGAGAGGATAAATCTGATACCCTGTGGGGTAGTTTGCAGAGCGTCATCTTGGTTGTAATTGGGCTTTGAAGTGCTTCAGCGCTCCGCAGCACGAAGGGCAATCTGGACTCATCCGTGAGATTTCTAGAGGACCCACAGCCTTGCAAATGAGTCCTTGGGGAAATATTCTAAGCTGAATTCCCCTTGAGTCAGGAGGGAGCGAGAGATTTTTATGGTGAAAACTGAGATCCTAAGTTTGGCAACTGGAGTCATTTTAAATGGAGCTGACGGAAAACCAAGAAAAAGAATTGGTGGACAATGTTTAGAAATTTTTTTCTCCCTTTTTTGGTCAAAAATCTCAAAATCTGAGAAGTTTCAGCCAGTCGGTTGGAAAAAGAGGAGGGGAAAAAGGCAATTTGTAGAAATCTCAATTGCTGAAAATTTGACAAATTTGAAATTTCAACCATACTTGTCCCCATTTTTCCTCAAAATTGAGATGAAATTTCCCATCAGAATTCAGAAGCTGGACAAGACTTTTTTGCTGAAATTTGAAAGTTTCAACTTACTGCAAAGTTGGTTGAAAAATGGAAATAAAGCAACTGGAAACCATTGTCTTGTGTTTTCTTTTGGGTCAAAAATTGTGACCAAATTTCATGGGAAAATTTAGGAATTTTGACATGATTTTTCTGGGCAAAGTTTGAAATTTTGACAAAATTCAATGTTAAAATTTGAAACCGCAAGAAAATTTTCTCTCATTTTCTCAACACAATTTAAAAAAAACCCCTCAAAATTTCAACCTATTTCATCCAAACTTTGGAATGTTAAGAATGTCAATCGGCTCGTTTTCACTCGTGCCCCAGTCCGTGTCCTCCCATCCCCTTCACTCCCCCAACCTCACGGCCTGGAAGCGCTGGAGGGTACCAAATATGAAGCAGGTAAAGGTGTTCGACTTACTGATGGATGGCTTGGAGGAACTTACGCTGGTGTTTCCGAACTTTGGCATGGTCAATCTTCTTCACCAGCTTGGTGTGTTTATAGATGAGCCACGTTTCCCTGAGTACGTTGGCAGCAGCGTTTTTCACCTGCAGGAAACAGGAATAAATACGGCGGTCAACGGGCTGAGTAGATTGGGCATTGATCATGTTTTGAGCCAACTTGCCGGGGGAACTTCACCCAGGGTAGGGAGGCTAACACAAAGCCTAGATGCCACATAAGACCCCCTTCAGCCCCACCCTGGGAATCCCAGAATCCTGTGTTTCTCAGGGCTGAATTTCACAACTCCCCCCCCCCCTCCCCCCCCAGAACGCGATGCCTGGGATTTGCAGAGATCGGGGCAGTGGGGGAAGGAACAGGGGTGGGGAATGGGAGAGATTTCTTACCCGCTTTGTTAACTGTGTGTCCATCATAAAATTGTGCACGTGTTTTTCAGCTTTCGTGAGTTCCAGCTTCCGGGCTACCACAGCGACAACCAGGGCCGTACACCCAGCGCCCTGGGACCGAAAGAAGAAGGGGTGCGGGTAAGGGAAAGCAGAACTCGGGCTACCAGGAGAGAGGCTGCTAGGACCAGTGGGAGGTCAGATGTGTGCCTGCAAGGGAACTAGAGCTGAGGAGAAGAGGTGCCAGCACCCAGCTAGGTTTTTCATAGGGGCATGGGGAGGTAGTCACACTGAAACCCAAAAAGTTTGCAGGGACCCCGGGAACATGCCATGGGAGCCTGCACTGTTCATGGCAGCAGGGAGTAAGCAATAGGGTATTTCACCTTCACTAGGAGAACATGTCCCTTTGTCTCTTTCTAGTGGCTGGTCTTTCTAAGAGGATAAGAGCTTACTACAGCTGCCAGCTAAGGGAGTCACTTGTTTAGCTCAAGCCATAAAGGTATATGCTTTTTCGTGCTGTAGGTTGCAGGTTCAAACTCCAAGCAGGGGTGGTTAGAAAAGCAGAAATGTAGCCTGTGACAGGGTCGGGCCAAATGGCTACAGGAGAGTAATAGAAGGCAGATATATTAGCCCCAGGCTAAGTAGGTCCCTTTTCCCTGGTAAGGTAACAGGGAAGGTTCCAGAACAATCAGGAACCTACTGGAGACAATTAAGACAGAGAGGCTGATTAGAACACCTGCAGCCAATCAAGAAGTTGCTAGAATCAATTAAGGCAGGCTAATCAGGGCACCTGGGTTTTAAAAAGGAGCTCACTTCAGTTTGTGGTGCGCGTGTGAGGAGCTGGGAGCAAGAGGTGCTAGGAGCTGAGAGTGAGAACGTGGACTGTTGGAGGACTGAGGGGTCTAAGCATTATCAGACACCAGGAGGAAGGTCCTATGGTGAGGATAAAGAAGGTGTTGGGAGGAGGCCATGGGGAAGTAGCCCAGGGAGTTGCAGCTGTCACACAGCTGTTCCAGGAGGCACTCGACAGCTGTATTCCACAGGGCCCTGGGCTGGAACCCGGAGTAGAGGGTGGGCCCGGGTTCCCCCCAAACCTCCCAACTCCTGGTCAGACACAGGAGGAGTCGACCTGGACTGTGGGCTCATGAAAACGGACAAGCTGAGGGCTGCCGTGAAGCTCCAAGGCGAGCAAATCCGCCAATAAGCGCAAGACCCACCAAGGTAGAGGAGGAACTTTGTCCCAGGCCTCTATGTCTGCAGAGCTGGTTTTTGACTCAGCTCTCTCTATGCAGCCAGGATGCCCCTGGCCGACGGCCTTCCCCAGGCCCCCTTGGGCTTACCATGATTCCAGTGAGCAGGCACACTCCCTTCCCGCAATAGGTGTGCGGCACCATGTCGCCGTAGCCAATGGAGAGAAACGTGATTGAAATTAACCACATCGCTCCCAGGAAATTGCTGGTCACTTCCTGTTTGTCGTGGTACCTGCCGAGGGGCAATAAAACACAGGTCAGGGGTTATCCGGTCCCTCCCTCCCCCGGCACCAGCGCCAACGCACGCCCCAACACGAGCATTTCAGAGTCACTCATCAGATCTTCATCCAACACGGGCCACAGCTTGGGGCTGTCCCAGGGCTCTGCATCAGGCCAAGGTCTGATTGCAAAACACCAGGCCAGAACCTCTGCTCCGTGACAACAGTGCGACTCCTTATTTGGACTGGCAGCTCCCTCCGGGCAGGGGCTTTGGGTCAATGCAGCGCCTAGCGCAACGGGGCTCCTCCCCCTGGCTGGTCCTTGGGCGTGACCGTAACAAACGCAGTTTGTAAGAATAAGAGACTTAGGGTTATTGCACTGCCTAGGCTCTGCACAGTGGGCTGGCTCCTAGCCCCCACGACTCCAGGCTGCCTGGGGTTTCCCAGTGGAGCTGAGGAGGGGTGCGTCCATCAAGGTTGCAAAACGGGTGAGCGGTAAAGCTGTGATCTGAATTAGGGACCCCCTGGCACTCCCTCACTGTGCACGTTCCTGCCTGGCTCACACCTGCTGGGATCTGGGCAGGGCTGCTTCGCCACCGTCAGGTTCCCTCTACTGTCTCTGCAGGCAATGGGGCGAGAACACTCCGCTCTTATCGCTGCGACTGTCCAGGGAGCCAACGGAGCAAGGGTTCTGATCCCACGGGCAGGCCATGAGATACAGGCACCTGATGCCTTTACATAGCCCAGCCTACAGCCTTTGCCAAAGTGTTTCACAAACACAAATGAATCCGTCCTCCCCAACCCTGTGGGACAGGGGTGTGCCACGAGCCCCATGTTGGACAAGGAAACTGAGGCACAGAGCGGGTGGGAGTCTTAATTTACGCCCGGGCAGACAGTCAGCACAGGGACTCTTCTAGTGGTGATTCCTCCTGTGTTGGCCCCTCTGCCCAGAGGTTAATTTCACCCTCATTGACTTGTCCAGACGAAACTGGCAACAGAACACCGGCCTCCTGGCTCCCAGCCCAGTGCCTTGGCCACTGGGCCTTGCCTCTCTTTCCACGTAGTTACATGGTGGCTGCTGGACATCGCAGCGCTAGTGAATCAGGGCTTTGCATCGGAAGCCCCTGCATGGCCAGCTTCAAACCTGTGAAGGAGGTTCCAAGTTCCACCCCTGCCATGGCCTCAGAGCCGCGCGCGCTATCAGATGTCAGCGGTCTCAGCCGAGGGGAGATGGAATCTCTTAAAAAACCCGGAGTCTTTTTGAAAAGAGAACCATCTCCAGCCATCACATCACGTCAAGGCCGGGGGAAGGGTTTTCAGTGCGACGGAGGCGTTTTGCCAAGAAGCCTCCCCTAGGACCTGGGATGGGAAAGGCGAGCCGGGGACGTTGCCTGGAGCTATACAGGGCTTTCCTGCCTGGCCTTGGCACCTGCATGGGATCAGGGTGTGAAATAGCTGCCAGTGGTGTGGGCAGCTGACCCAGGCGCCCAGAGGGTCCTCACACGACGCTGACGCTGCATCCTACTTAGCTCTGCAAAGGAGACCACATGGCATTGCCCCTCCCCACTGCCTGCCTCTGCCTGCCTCTCTCCTGTGGAGGGGCAAGAGAATCGCAGGCCTGTGAAGGGTGACGATCCCACGGGCTGGACTCCCCAGTGGCTATGTCAGCAGTACACAGTGGGATGAAAGCGGCTGCCAAAGGCCAGTGGAGGATGCTCCTGTGCAGGGGAATGATCTGCCGGGGAAAGTGATGCCCCAACCCCTGGCACAGGGGGATACCGGGAGAGGGGATGGGGGGATGGAAGAACTGATCTGATCCTCCACAGGGGTCAGTTTAGAGCTGCTCCCCTACAGCTCCAGCTTGTTCTGGGGACAGGTGGCTCAGCGTCAGAGAGCTGTAATCATCTCCCCGAGGTATCGCCCCCCTTAACTGAGCAGAGATTGACCCCAGAGAGCCCAGCGGGCACAGACAGAGCAGCTCTGCGTTGCCTGCTAGTATACAGTACTGGTCAGGATAGTGTGGAGAAATTATATCTGTGAATGCAGATTCTCTCTTGGTGTCACGGTGTGAGTGTGACACACAACTGCACTCGCACCTGTTTGCACGCCCAGCCACCCACTCAGAGGCCTGATTCTCCATTGCAACCGCATTTACTGCACTAAACGGCTGCACAAGACTCCTTCCCAGGGGCTCTCTCTTTCTCTGTCACTCACACATGCGGGTCCGTCCCCTGGTCCTGGCTCAGCCAGAATTCCCACTCAGGTTATTAGAAGCTCTGATTGCTCAAGGCTTGCATGGTTGTGTGCTTCATTGTGTGTGTGACAGAGAGACAGGGGGCATGTGCGTGCGTACGCACGTGGACATGGTCATTCACATGCACTCGCCACCCGTGGCCTGTGTTAGACACGAGGTCACATGATCACAATGGTCTCACCTGGCCTTAGACTCTAGGGATCGGATCTGTTTAAAAGATGGATGCTTTCTGAAAATCTCCCTGCAAACTTTAGATGGCACAAAAGAGCCATTTGGTTTCAATGTGACACACTCTGGCTACTGACGAGACTTTAGGGGAATGGGAAATGCAAACAAAACTTCAAACAGAACCATCCAGGGGTTCGAGTTTTAAAACATGACGATCGGCACTCATGTAAGACAAAGAGGTGGCAGCTAAGGTCTTCTGCTGCCTTGAGCGTCTCTTTGGAGGTTGCTGGAGTTGCAGTTTTGCATTAATAGCTGGCTGCCCAGTACCGCTTCCTTGTAAGATTTGCTTGTGGGGCTCAGGCTGGAGTAATTTCTCTGATGTCAGCTGGGGGTGCTCTGCACTGACACGCATGTCACTGAAATCAGAATTTGGCCCAGTGTCATTAAAAGGAAACAAAAGCCCCCCAAAATGCAACTGGACAGTTGTCAGGTAATTAAAAAGCTCCGTGGCAATGAGCAGCCAGTGTGAGCAGAGCAAAACCTTCCCTGAGAAAACTGAAACATGACTCAACACAGCCCGGGTTTGGGGGAAAGTTGGGGCAGAATTAAGCCTTTCAAAAGCCGCATGGGTAGAACTTTGAAACAGAAACTCAGTTTGAAACCAGTTTCAAACCCTTGAAAACTCAAACCAATGAATACATCCGAGGAATAAATACCAGGGAGGGAGGGGAGTTATTTAAGTTAAGCAACAATGTGAACACAAGAACAAATGGAGCTAAACTGGCCATCAACAAGTTTAGGCTTGAAATTAGATGAAGATTTCTAACCATGAGAGGAGTGAAGTTCTGGAGCAGCAGGGGCAAAAAACCTAACTGGCCGCAAAACTGAGCTTGATAAGTTTATGGAGGGGATGGGATGATGGGACGGCCTACAATGACATGTAGCCGATCAGCGACTGCTAGCAGCAAATATCTCCAATGGTCAGAGATGGGACACTAGCTGGGGAGGGCTCTGAGTTACTACAGAGAATTCTCTCCCAGGTGTCTGGCTGGCGGGTCTTGCCCACATGCTCGGGGTCTAACTGATCGCCATATTTGGGGTTGGGAAGGAATTCCCCCCCTGGGTCAGATTGGCAGAGACCTCGAGGTTTTTTGCCTTCCTCTGCAGCATGGGGCACGGGTCACCTGCAGGTTTAAACCAGTATTACTGGTGGATTCTCTGTAACTTGAAGTCTTTAAACCATGATTTGAGGACGTCAGTGACTCAGCCAGAGGTCAGGGGTTTATTACAGCAGTGGGTGGGTGAGGTTCTGTGGCTTGCGATGTGCAGGAGGTCAGACTAGATGATCACAATGGTCTCTTCGGACCTTAACATCTCTGAGTCTCTAATTAGGCACAGCTCTCTGACAACACGCCGTACTTTCTAGTGTTACTGTATCCAGTCCCTTTCTGTTCTATTCTTCCTGACACTATGTGGTAAATTAAACTACATTTATGCCCACTGTAAGGCCCCTTTAGACCCCCAAACGGGTATAAAAGGGCCTTGGTCTCAATTTCCGAATTGCTCAGCTAAGATCAAGGCCTTAGCCTTGTGTATAGGGGTGAATTTTCCCCGTAAGCACAGCAGATGGGGAAGGGCCTCTTTCCCCTCTTAGTTTGTAGGGTAACAGTCTCTCTGCAATTTAACATCGCTAGGCCAAAACCACTCCTGGAACCTGCCCTTTTACCTTGCTGGTGAGCTTGACAGACGCTATAGCTCAAACATTGACGCAAAGAGAGTGACCAGCTGTGTTCACTCGGCCAGCCCGCACTGCAGCACCCGGGTGTGGCTGACTCATTGGATGAAGATAAATGGCAACTTAGAGCATCGGTTTACAGACCCCCCCGCTTTCATGACCATGTGGGGGATCACGTTGGGAACAGGAGATCTACACAGCAATTGCACAGTGGAACAATCCATCAAGGTGTGAGGGCGGGAGGGGGAAGCCGGGTGTGTTAGAAATCAACCTGACACGTGTGCAGAACACAGATGTGGCATGTAAGTGAGATGCCAGGCACATGTATGACACAGCTGGCCAACCACATGCCTCTGTCACAGGGGACATTCTATTCCAGCATTCGCAGAGGGGGGAGAAACTCGCACCTGATACAACCTCTTAGCGGTTTAGCCGTTACATTTTGCGGATGGGTCTGAACCGGGGACAACAGAAATCTGCAGAGGGGGGAGAGCAAAACATCTGAAAGGTGGTATGAAGGTGAAGGAAAGTACTTCACATATTACCTGTGCCCTCTGTGAAGTTCAGTGAGAATTAAGTCTCCAAAGGACCTTGAGGGATCAATTAATAATAATTCTGCCTTTTGTATCTTTTCCCGAGGATCTCAAAACACATGAAATTAATTTCACCTCACAACAGTCCCAGCAGGTGCAAAATCCCCTGTTTTACAGGTGAGGAAACTGAGGCACACAGGTGGGGAAGCCCGAATCAAAGAGTGAATTGATGGCAAAGCTGGGAATAGAACCCAGGAGTCCTCAAACTCTAGCCAATCAAAAGGGTCAGATACTGAGTCAGCCAATCCACACAAACCAGTTGAA